GCTGCAAATTTTACACCCCTGCCTTCGGGGGAAGTGCCTACTCAAGTCAATGGGAGCTGCCCTGCAGATATCCCAGGCCAGTCAATCTTAGCTGGACCAGAGCAACAAGCCAGATGCAACACAGATTAGGATATGATCCTGGAGAATGAGCACTTACCTGCCCAGTGGAATGGCTTATCTTCAGAAATGGGTGCTCCATCACTGGAGGTTTTTGTCAGAAGAGATTGGACAGCCATTTGTCCAGAATGGTATGGGGTCCTCTGCTCAAGCAGGGAGTCAGACTGGAAGATCTCCCAAGGTCCCTTTCAAGGCTGTTATTCTAATGCAGAGGTTACGAACTCCACGGTTTTCCAGTATATGTGATCCCGACACATGGAGTGAAACCACAGTACCAGAAGGCAGGCAATTCTCAAGACAAGTTTGAACATAAGGTTTAAGTTGTACAAATCCATGTGTTTACCACTAGCACACATGGCTACGAGGGTTTGTTCCAGGACTTAGATCACAGAGAGAAGACACTTGTGGCTTGATGAATCTTCTAGGCTAGGCAGGACTGGGAACGTTGGATGAATTGCACAGGCATATATTACCTGGATGTGAAACAGATTTCCGTGTCTGCGAGGTTAATGGTTAGCAGGAATAAATGGAATTCATTTTAAATCCTAGCAGAAGGCCTCAGAGCAGCGATTTGACCTAAATTAAACCAACCCAAATGAATTATGGTGTTAATTGGAGCAGACACTATTTAATTAACCTAATTAGTATCGATTCTCCCATATCGTCTCTTCCAATAAATTGGTTTTTCCTAGACACACTATCTTTGCCTTAATTTTCTACATCAGGAAATCGTAACTTGATTACCACCAGTTTTATAAATAAGGCAACACTCATTTTGGAATAATCATTATTTCTGAACAGACCATTAGGCTGTGCAGTGTAGAAACCATGGTATATGTTATCTCTCTTTTAAGTTGTTGGCTTCCTCCCTGCCACCTGCCCCAAATAAGCAAAGAACACTTGAGAGTGACTGGCTCTTACAGGTTGTGCTCAATTTACAACCAGTTGCTTAGCCGCTCTTTGAAATTAGAACCAACCAGAAAAAGGGCTTACAATTCTGGATTCTAAGATCTGACGATTGGGCCCACTTTTACGGTCACGACTGAAATTTGAGCACTTAACAACATGGCCACAATTCAGCCATTTGCAGTAGTAACCCAAGGTCACACCACTGCATTTTATGAAGATTATTTCTGGCTTTTGGTGTGCCCATAGCAAATCATTGGTTTTCTTAACAAAAAAGGTAACATCAGATAAGTCATGTCACTGACTTGTTTTATAATTATGACATAATGGCTGCAATGGGCAGGCTCCGTTATGGTCATATGTCTAGAACTACCGATACTAGTGCAAGAGAATCATTTAAAAACCGAGATTCTTCTAAAGGAGCCTTTTCATGTTATAAAATGGCGTCAGTACAAATGTTCTTGAGGTAGATACTTCTAGCTATATCGGAAAAGGTTGATTCTAATCAAAGAAATAAGTCCTAGTGAAGGCAAATTTGATGGATTTGACTCCATTTGAAATCCTAACGGCAGGGGATGCAAGCTTCAAACTTATGGTTGTCACCTAATGGAACTTGCAAATGGAATCAAATACTTCATTCCTCTGTTCTGGAAGAAAAAAATAGTATCAATAACACTTCAACTTACATACTGCTTCATAGTGCTTTACAGCTCTCCTTAAGTGGTTTAGAGTCAGCCTCTTGCCCCCAACAATCTGGCTCCTCTTTTTACCGATCTCGGAAGGATGGAATGCTGAGTCCACCTTGAGCCTGTCGGGATCAAACTGCTGGCAGTTGGCAGAGTCAGCCTGCAATTCTGCATTCTAAAACCACTGCGCCACCAACAAGTACCACGTTGTTAGTCAGGTTGCAATCGTGTGGAAAGTAAAACCAGCCAATGTGGAAAATATTGCTAGAGAGGTTTCCACCAGCACCCCAATATTAAAGATAAATCAAGTGTGCACTTTCCTCCTAAGAATTCTCAGGTGTTTTATGGCCTGCCATCTTTCTATAGCAGGGCTGTCAAACTTGCGGCCCACGGGCTGGATGCATCACACACTGGCCATGCCTATGCCTGGTTTAGCGAAGGGAAAATAAGCCCCGATAAGTCGCGTGACGCCCCATCGCAATGCAACTATGACACCCCTGTTCTATCACATCCAACACCATTTGTCGTTCTCTCACAAGGCCATCACAAACCCACAAATGTGAAATGGGCAAATTGGCCATCTCAGACTATTTTATTAATATCAAATGTATTTGCCGCCGATCTTGCAGTTCGAAGCGACTACTTCCAGACCGTCCACTGACCATAGGATGCAATGTAGGCAGGGGAGCCAAATTTCCTCCCACCCAGTAAAATAAAATTGGAAAATGAGATGCGTTAAGGAGAGTGCAAAACAGAAGTTTGACCATCTCCCTCCTGCTTTTTGGGGTCATTTCAGAAAACCCTGAAAAATCTAATTCACTGCTGCATAGTAGAGTGGATTCTGCTTTAAGCAGTACGGACAATTGAGAATTACAGGTAGTCCTTGATTTAAAGCAGTTCATTTAGTGACTGTTCAGTCACAATGGCACCACAAAAAAAGTGATTTATGTCCATTTCCCACACAACCATTAGTCATCTGATCAAAATTGAGAGGCCTGGTAACTAACTCACATTTATGACGGCTGCAGTTGTCTAGGCAGATCTTCTGACAAGCTAAGTCAATGGAGAAGCCAAATTCACTGAATCATGTTACTTAATAGCTTCAGTGTTTCACTTGACAACTATGGCAAGAAAAGTTGTAAATGGGACAAAATTAACTCTTGCTTAACAAATAATTTGGGGCTCAACAGTGGTCATAGGTTGAGGACTAGCTGTATGGCAAAGATCACTAGAAATTTAGCTAGAGCAATATTCTCAACCATGGTCACTTGAAGACATGTGGATGTCAAAGGAATTCTGGGAGTTGGAAGTCCACACCTCCTCAAGTAGCCACGGTTGAGAGTGCTGGATTATGGCATTGTCTAAACCAGGAGTATCAAACTCAAGGCCTGTGTGCCAGATCTGGCCTGCAATGTGATTGTATCCAACCTGCAGGGCCACTCCAGTCTACCAGGCATTGCTTGGGCCTGGTCTACCCAGTGTGAAGAGGAAACATGCCAGCAGTTTGGGGAGTGGTGTCAAGCTGGCCACGCTCACCCAGATGGCCACATCAACCCAGTCAGCTACACCCAGTGATATCAAGCTGTCCAGGCCCACTGCCAGCCACCCCCCTCCCCCCCACCCCCCGAGGTCAACTACCACCCTGATGAGGCCCTCAATGCAATTGAGTTTGACACAGGGGTGGTATTCTACCGGTTCGGCCAAACTGGTAGCTCTGAGGATAATCTGTTAGCAAACCGGTTCGCTCCGATGATCAGCTGCTGGGCCCTCCCACTGACCCTGGTTCTATACTGACCTTTTATTTCCTGGTTTTGATGCTCAGCTGCTTTGCGCAGCATTGCCGCGTGTCAACTGTTTACCACACAGGGAGAATACAGGATTGCAGAAGGTTGAAGTAGCAAACCCTCTGCGTGCAGCCAAAGTGCGCCCACCAAGCCACGCCCACAGAACCAGTGGTAACAAAACGTGAATCCCATCCTTGGTTTGACACCCCTGGTCTAAACACTGTTCTTATTAGACTTTTGGGGCAGGGGAGAGACAATTTGTGGCCTAATCTGTCAACAAGGTACCTGTGGAGTTTGACAACTCTGAATAGCATCCTTTTACCTGTCCACAACAAATCATCTGTGGTGTGGGCAAAAATGGATGCAGCTCCCTGACAGAAGTGTCCCATTTCTTATGTTCCCCTAGAACAGGGGTGTCAAACTCGTGGCCCGCAGGCCATATGAGTCATATGCTGGCCACGCCCACCCCCGCTTTACTGAAGAGGAAAAAGTCACGATATGTCATGGGACGACAGGAGTTTGACACTCCTGCCCTAGAAAAACAAAAGGACCCACAGTCGGGGAGAGGCAGGGATGGTATTCTGGAGAACCAGTAGTGGAAATTTTGAGTAGTTCAGAGAACCGGCAAATACGGCCTCTGGCTGGCCCCGCCACCATCTCCCGAGTTCCAGCTGATCAGCTGGGTCTTCTTTGGTTGCCCTGCACAGGAGAATGGAACTGGAAAGCAGGTTAATGGGATGGGGAGGGAATGGGGATTTTGCAGCATCCTTTTCCTGCCACGCCCACCAAGCCACATCCACCAAGCCACTCCCACCGAACCGGTAGTGAAAATTTTTGAATCCCACCACTGGGTGAAGTCTCTGTTTTCAGCACTGGAGGTTGCCTTTTCAGAAAAAGCAGGACTGGCCCCAAAGTTAAAGCTATGAAGACAGCCTGGCCCCCCTCTCAAAACACCACGTCATGAAAATGTGTGTCTTCACACAGAGAGAAGAGAAATGAAAGCAGATGCAGCGTTAGATTCATGATTCTTGGTTTTTAATACATTCACAGATAAACCTTAGAAATAAAAAGAGACATTGATTCGATTCTACTGCTGGGGCAGTTCCCCCCTCCACCCACCCACCCCAAATGATGGCATTCTTGGTTGCACGTGTCCACTCCTTCTCTCCCACCCACTTCCCACGCCCACCCTCTGTTCCAAGGATGCTCTGGGCAAGTGGTTTTCCTTTTGTGCAAATGGTTCCCCCCCCCCGCTCCTCTGGAATTGGGGGGGGCACAGGGAGACCACACAGGCACTGAGGGTTAGCCAAGAGGCAGATGGGACGGGACAGTGTGGTGATGATGGGGAAGTTGACAGATTTCAAGGGTGGTAAGAGACGGTCAGCCCTTCCCAAGCCCTGGAACTCGGTGGCGGTCAGTGGCAGTCAGTGACACTCTCGTTCCCATCACACTCCGGGCCCCACGTTTAACCATCCACTTGCAAATGCTTGGGAGTGGGAGAGGGAGGGAAGGAGAAAGTGGGTTTTAACATTCCGGTTCCTGTACTTTCTTTGGGACGTTTTTATCTCATTCCATCTCGTGTGTATACCCGGAGGAATTTATTTAGGCACTCTTTCTTTTTTTTTTTTCCTGGGACCTGACAAAGTTGCAAACTGAAATAATAAAATGCTCCCTTTTTTTTTTTTTTTTTGCCCTCCCCTAAAATAAAGCTAAACGTGGCACCTGAATAGAACACAGTGGCTTTTCTTCCTAAATGTGAGCAAGGGGGGAAAAAAATGATGTGCCTTAAAAGTTTTATCTCTTCCGTACCAAATCCATTTGGGCTTTTTTTTTTAAAAAAAAAATCAATATGCAGATAAAAATATGGCTGAATTTATATTTAATATATAATATTTATAATGTTGCACACACCTAAACAGTGTTTAAGGGGCTGAGGCTTAAAGGTAGGAAGAAAGCAGGGGAAGGGGGAAAAAATACACTTTAAAATCCATAGTGGTGGGGTAGTGGCCAAAAATTTCTGCAAAGTTAAATGTCCATTTTTGTTTAAAGTCAACGTAAAAATGACCTGAGAAATATTATATTATCCCTCACTTGGAATTAAATCTCTTATGTACACAGTAGAAATGGATGGATGATACACTCACACACATACACGCAACACATACATCTCCTGCCCCTCATCTTCCTCTCTCGCCACCTCAATGCGGCATCCCTTGGTCTACGTCTAGTTGGGCCGTTTTGGGACACAGACCTTTGCTGTTCCACGCCACCTGAGATGCCTGCGGGTGGCAGTTTACAGACAGGTAGACTTCACTTTTCAAAATTTTGTTCTTTTGCATTGTATATTCATTGTACCAGTGCAAATCAAACACAAACAAAACGAAAAATTTTTTTTTATCCCTCCCCAGAAACAAACAACATTGCCAAAATTGTCCCAGGGTGAGGCTTGAACCACCTTGGGGCAAATTCTGTGGTGAGGACCAGTGAACTAAAAAGCTCTTTTAAGCTCTAAGGGGTGTTGGGATGGGCAGGCTGGCTTCGGTCTTCCTCTTCGGGGGTTTTCTCTTCAGTCTCCGGCTGATCGCTGCTCCGGAAGGATTCTTGCAGCTGCTGCCGTCTCTGCACCTCGGCCTTAAGGCTCTCTAAATCTTTTTGGCTGTGGAAAGAGAAATAAGGAATGACTCCTTCTGCGTGAAGCTTCCATTCAGAGGCAATTATCAGAAGGAAGAGGGATGATTTTGGACCAAAGGAAGCTAGGCCGTCTTCCTTCTTTCAAGCAAGAATCTAAAAGGGACATTTTTGGGCCAGGAGAACTATCAAGACTGAAACGGAGAGGGCCACCAGGGTCAATTTGGGCACTGTAAAAGTAAGGCCTAAGCTGCTATAACTAAAGATGAAGCAAGCACGTAAAAGCAGGATGGGCGAAAGCCAGGAAAAGCTCCCTTAGCAGAGGTGGTATTCAGCAGGTTCTCACCAGTTCTGGAGAACTGGTAGCAGAAACTTTGAGTAGTTCGGAGAACCGGCAAATCCCACCGCTGACTGGAGATTTTACAGTATCCTTCCCCTGCCACGCCCACCAAACCTTGCCCAAAGAACCGGAAGTTTAAAAAAAAATTGAATCCCACCGCTGTCCCTTAGGGCTAAGTAGTTAAGAAGGAACCAGGCTGATCAGGAAACGAAGGGGGGGAAAATGTAAAAAAATGTAACGTGTACCAGATACAGCAAGGTGGGCCTGAGCACATGGGAAAACCCTCCCCAAGACTCATAAGTAGCTAACAAGACTTGTAAATCGATGGGGTGAGAGTAACTGTCACTCTTCTCAAAGTATAAAGCAAGGTCCTGAGGGGATAAAAGGCATCCTGAAAGCCAACCCGCTCTCTGAGTTCTCTTCGGATCCAGGCATGGCAGCTTCCTTCTCTCTGGCTAGTTAACTGCCTGCCTAGTTGAGGATGTGGGTAAATGTGGAGGAGTGTATGTCTGTGTGTACATGTGAGAAAGAGCAAGTTATATACGTATATACAATAAAGTTTTGCTATAATTTTAAATTCACTGGGCCTCCCTGTACTCAAAGGAATTATTTGTGTCTCAGAGATTTGTGTGAGGCCTTTTTCCGGGGCTGTGTGTGTGCGCGAATGACCGTAAGCTGAACCCGTGTAAAACGTGTGTAACAAAGTTACCCTGTGGTGAGATGGGTAGCCAATAAATTAAAAAAATATAAATGAATAAATTTAAAAATAAATATAAATGAATAAAAATAAACAGTACCTAGCTGAAAGAAACAAGTTGTTTGGGTAAATGGATAGATAAATCTGGGTTTTTTTTAGATAGATAATAGATAATAGATGATAGATAGATAGATAGATAGATAGACAGACAGACAGATAGATATTGATAGGCAGGCAGACAGATTTACATTAAATTCATATGCCAAAGTCAAGCTATTCTGAGTTCACATCATAATAGCAATATAAAATATTAAAATGTCAAAACAGGAAAAAAATGAGCATTAAAAGTTAATAAAACCTGGGCAAAACAGGAACCAATGCATAAATGGAGTGAAGGTGAGATCTTCTTCTCACTCCATTGATCATGTATGTTAAAACTCATAAATATATTATTTATGGTGTCCAATCAATATCTAGCACCAGAATTTTGTGCAAATGGGTTGTGTGCAGTAAAAGAAAAAAAATGCCCCAAGATATGTTTTTATTTTAACTGATAAACTCAGCAAAGATCCTGGGAAAGTCTACTATGGTTTATTAGTTAGGAAAAAAGGCTGAGAGCTGATAAGAAGAACAACGGATGTTTGGAAGCGAAGAAGGGGGGAAATTTTAAGACAAAATTCAAGCAGTAAAAAACATGCCAGTCCCTCAAGACCTACGGGGGAAAAAAAAAGATTTGTCTCTGCCCAACTTTTACCCCTTACGTCCAACTTGCAAACTTGATGGAAGCCTCCTCAAAAGAGCTGCACCTGCTGTTTGGCCTGAAGTGGAGCAACCTTAGGCAGCGGGTGTCAGGATGTAAGCCTTACCTTAGTGGAATGAAGAGGATTCCATTGATAATGTTCAACTGCTCTAAGACGCTGGCCATGCTGGGAGCTGTGAACTAGGAGGTGAACAAGGCGGGTTTAGTGCCACATTGAGGAAAGAAAAACAACCCAACTTCACGTTTTTCTTCTCATCCAAGAAACTTCTTCAGCTCTAACTCAGAAGTTCTAACTGCCTACAGCCCTTGGATGATGGGGTTTCCCTCGTTTGCGCCGAGCGGTTTCTGGCATGCCACAGACCGGTGAGTGGGGACCCCTGTGACAGGGGACAACTCTCCTGTGGGAGCTGCTTGTTATGTATGTATGTATGTGGGTGGGTGGGTAGGTAGGTAGGTGGTAGGCAGGCAGGAAGACAGACAGACCTTTTGGATGAATGTATAGATAGGTAGATAGATTGATCTATATTTGTAGATAGGTAGGTAGGTAGGTAGGCAGGCAGACCTTTTGGATAAAGGTCGATTTGCTTCCGGGTGCAATTCAAGATGCTGGTTGTCACCTTTAAAGCCCTTCATGGCTTGGGACCGGGTTATCCGAGGGACCGTCTCTTGCCGGTCACATCCACCCGACCCATCAGATCAGGGAGATAGGGAATGCTGCAGGTCCCATCCCTGAGGGAGATACCACCTGGTGGGACCCAGAAGAAGGGCCTTCTCCGTGGTGGCTCCCTCTCTCTGGAACATCATTCTCCCAGAGATTAGAATGGCCCCCTCTCTAATACTCTTCTGGAAGGCGCTGAAGGCCTGGTTCTGCCAGCGGGCCTGGGGAACCCAGAGCGGGATGGAGCCCATCCAATGCCTCATGTGATCTGCTGTCATCGGGACGGGGGGGGGGGGGGGGTGGGGTGGGTGTGTTTTTTTCCCAACACATTTTTTTCTATTGTACTTCGTTAATTTATTTGATTCTTTCTGTTATTTGTTATTTTTATTTTAAATATGGTTTTACATTCTGTAAGCCACCTCGAGTCACCATGGGCGAATAGGCAGCAGTATAAATTCAATAAATAAGTAAACTTTCAGCAACTCAGAACTGAAGAAGCTTCTTGGACGAGAAGTGAAATGTTTTAGAAGAAAAACAACAACAACAACAACAACACACACACACACACAAAACCCACTTGCCTTTGGGAAAGCACCTTTGGGACAAAAGCATGAACAGATTTTGTTTTGGGGAAGGGAGCTGTGTTCAAATCAGGGGGGGATTCTCCTGGTCTGGACTGATTCGGGTGAACCCCTAGTTCCGATGATCAACTGGCTCTGAACCAAGGAGCACGTGGGCCTGCTCGCCCGTCCCTGCTCCGGAAAGGGTGCTTCGGAAAGGGTGCTTCAATTCATTGTTTTACACCAAAGCTGAAGAAGAGCGGTTTTGCCGCGCCTCAGCTGTTTTATTCACAGGGGCTGCAGTTGAAGGTAAGTATTAGAGCTGAAAATGGACTTTTTAAAGTGTGGGCCACACTTGCGGAGGGCTTGCTCACCAAACCGGTTATTACCCCGGCTGAATCCACCACCGGTTCAAATCCCTGCACAGCCAGCTAATTAGCTAATCTATCTTCGACATCTTTCAGCTGAAAGGGACCCCTCCCTTCCCCAGGACAGATGCAGGGTGCAGGGCGGTGATGTTTCTGCAGGGGCAGGCCAAAAATCTGGAGCCCATTTTTTTTTCCTAATTGCCAATTAGTTAAGGCAAAATAAATGTGAAAATAAATGTTTCTAAGAAATGCTTCGTGCACCTGTTAATTTTTATTTAATTTTCCCCCCACCCAAGGAAAAGTGATGCTACTGAAAAATAATCTTCATCATCATCATCATCATCATCATTTAATTACCCCATAATCCCTTGCGGGGTGAAGTCTGGGCAACTGAATGGAGCTAGCAGAGTGTTTTAATGGCCGGATGCCCTTCCTGTCACCAATGCGGAGTTTTGTTCAGCAGAGATATTTCTGAGTGTGCCCAGAGTGAGAAACATCTGCCTCTGCCTAGGATCAAACTCACAGCCTCTTCCTTGTGAGTTGAGAACTCCCACCTCTGGGTCACTGCA